AATTGAATCTAAGTCTTTGAATACTACACCTGTTTAGCACCAATTACACACTAAGTGGGTACCTCATTGTAAATCGTTGAATTGCAATCTAATAATTATCAAATATATATATATATATATATTTTTTTTTACACAAAGAATTAAAGTAAAATAAAATTTTGTAGCTTACAAATAATAAGCCAGTGCCAATTGCTATTGGCTACCTAAAATAGGAAATATTACAAAAGTCAACCTTTTAACATGAAAATGCTTTTCAAAATAATATGTAAAAAAAAATACTAATTTTAACAAAAGTAAACGCGTGTATAAAAAAAAAAAATAATTCTATATAGCAGATAAATGGAAAGGTATTATTATACAAATGTTAATTAAGAATTCCAAATAAACGTCATTAGTTACCAATATAATTATAATGTTCTTATAAATTATGGATTATACGTGTACATTCACATATTCGGCCAAAAACGTGAACTATAATTGACTAATAAATTACATGTAGTAAATAAAATCAATCGCAACTTGAAATTACGTTCCTGATCATTAAAATGTTTCATCTTGATTAGGACAATCTTCTGTCCAATGTAGTCCATGCGCCTCGCAATTATCACAATACTAAAATAAATAAAACAAAATTCATAAGGAATCATTATTTAAGAAAAGGTATTCCTTAACGTATTCGAAATTCACTAACCGGTCTTTCATCTTTGTGACTTCCAGTGAATCCACCAACCGCGGTATCAGACGAAGCATTACTGGCGCTTGAATGTGTGCCAAACACTACCTTGCAACTTATGATATCATGCCCGGCTTCTTCGCAAATCTCGCAATATAAGTTTGAAGTTTCTGTTTTATTTGTTCGAGGTGGAGAACCTCCATCGATTAAGCCATTACCAAGAATTGAAGCTTCTAGTAAGCTTGCACCATCACTATTATTCATTTTATTTAATTGCTCTTTCAAATCTTCAAAATCATCTTTCCACTTTTTGGTATTTCGTCGTTCTCGTTGTACTTCTTCTTCCAGATCTGCTTCACGGAAAATTTTACTTTCGATCAATGATTCCAGTTCTGCAACATCTTTATTCAATGCAGTTATTTCTCGTTGCTTTGACCTTTCCAATTCCTGGATTTTCTGACGCAATTCTCTAGTTTCTGCGTTATGTTTAGACGTCAATCTGTCTATTTGTGATTGTTTTTCTACTAAAAGTGATTGGAGACGTGATGTATCAGTTCTTGCTTGTGATGTTTCCCCTTCTTCTGAATCTTCTTGATCTACAGAACTAACTCCATTAGCTTGATACGAATCTTCGACAGGTGGAGACAATGATAAGATGCCCTGA